CTTTGGCCAGTTTCGTAGAACGATAGGCTTAGGAAATAGTGCGATGTCACGACTTCGATTGATAGCTTGATGTACCCTCTTGCGCATCGAACAATTAGTTTGCCGTTTGGAGCTTTGCGAACAAGTTTTCTACCTGCTTTAAAAAGTGTGCACGGCACTTGAGTTGGCGCTGGGCGCGGTCACCATTTGGCCAAGCACGCTGCTAGCTTGCCACCGCACTACCGCGCCGGCCGTGTTCCACTGCCGCGTTGGCCGCGTCCCAGTGCTACGCCTGGGCGTGTGCGCGCGCACGGCACTTGTACTGCGTGTCAAGGCCGCCTGCACCGCTGCTGCTCGTCCGCCACCGCGCGCTGACCACGGCCACCGCCGCTGCGCGGCTTGGCGCTGCTGCTGGTTCGCCAGCGCGCGCGCCCATGCGCTAGCCACATCCGCACTGTCACCGTGAATGCGACGCTAGCAGGCCTTAGCTGCTTGCTGCCCTCGCTGGCGCGCGGGTCACCTCGCCGGCTGACGCGCTGCGTCCAGGCCGCCGACCATGCCTGCCGTGCCAGGCCCTGCTCTGCCCTGCCTTGGCCGCAGGTGCGCCGGGTCCGCGCTACGCACCGCCAGTCGCTACTGCTCCCTTTTGACCCGGCTTGGCTACACGCGCACAAAACGATCACATGCGTCCCCGTCACCTCGGTGTCGCGCTGCCCTGTGCTCGTCTTGTCCGGTGTTGGCCACGGTGGCGCCATACCACGCCTCGTCGCCTTGCAACAGCGGCCGTGCGGACAGCCGTCTGGGGCACATCCTGCATGTCTCACTGTCCCCCGTCATGTTGTGTGTTGGCTCATTGCGTTGACGCCGTAGACGGACCGAGCCAAGCCATGCCAGGACCTCCCCTGCCTCCGCTGTCGCCGTGACCGGCGGGGCCGGCCTTCAAATTAGCCGTGGTGAAAGTACCATGCCTCAATTGGTCTTGTCCGTAGCTCCGCTAGGCAGCCGGTCATCCAACCTTCCCCACCGTGCTGCCGTTCTCGCCTCACTGTGCCTTAATTTCAAATCGCCGCGCCACCGGGTCCATAAGACCGGACGGACACGCGCCGTCGGCTAGCCACGCAACCAAAGCATCTCGTCCCAATTCCTTGCTCTCCTAGCCCCTCCTCTAGCTGGTCATCACCATGCTCACCATAGCCTAAGCCCTGTCGCCGTATAGCAGTCGCTGGCACAGCCATGCCATCGCCGTGCACCGCCGCACCACCTTGCGCGCACGTGGCCAGTTCGGCTCGTGTCTTTCCCGGATGAGCCAGCGCATCGTAAGGTTCTGTGGTGAGACACTGAAGCTCGCTAGCTACTTCTTTGGTCCCGGTCTTGCTGACGTTCACTGGAACAGCATCGCCGTGTTTGCAGGTTGCCTGTCATCGTGGTCCGACCCCGTTGCTACGTCCCGGTGCACGTTTCCTCCGCCCTACACTTCACGTTCGTGCCTAGGTTTGTGTCGGCTCGTTTGTTGGGAAGGAGGAAGCCTAGGGTGGCCGGCGCCAGCCTCGCCGAGCCGGTGCGCACGGGTGGCCGCAGGGGTGTCGTCAGTGGGAGGACAAGAGATTCGGAGGGCGTAGCTGTAAAACCTTAGACTGGGGGAATAGTGTCCTAGAGCTCGCTGTGATTACATAGTACTTCGGGGGTGTCCGTGCATATTTGCCATCGCGCGTGGGCCTCTCCCGTCGCGGGCCGTTGGCTGGCTGGGCCGCGCCTCCGCGCTGTGGCCTGCTGACGCGCGCGGGCGGGAAGGCGGAGCGAGCCGAGCCAGCGCGTATTGGGCCAAGTAGTAGGATTCGGTTTTCGTAATTTCCAGAAGAATAGAAATGTTTATTTATTTTGGTTATGAATTGAACTTCGATAAATCGTAGTAAATTGCGTAGTTGTCCAAAAATAGTGAGACTAATTTTGTTAGGTTCACAAAAATATCATCTACTAGATAATCCAGTTGAATTACAGTTAGCTATGGCAAGTATTGGGTGATAAATTCAAAAACTAGAGCACTGATATTAGATAGATTAATACTTGTTGGAATAATTGTGGGTAATTGGTAATAGCTATGGACATGAAAATTTTACAGTAGACTTGTTAGGTTGCTAGGTACTTGCTGTAAATTTTGTAGCATTAGAAGGTGTTGTTAAAATAAAGTAGCTATTACCCTTGTTTATTGGTATATAGCGTAAATCGGCGTAGGAGTGAAAATACCGATAGTTGCTGGAATAACGATGAATGCCTTACTTGATACTTGTTGTCGATAGCAATAGATGTTTTCGCACCGTGGTCGATAGCACTATCTTAGTAGTTAAATCGATGTACTTCTATTTTAAGAGCTGCTGTTGTTATATTATTAAACATTGCATCATCATTTCATGTAGATCACGAACTGGTAGACTTCGTGCCCGTCGGTGAACCGGAGTACGAGGAGATCTTCGCACAGGAGGAAGCCCAGGAGCCTGTTGGTGCTGACCCTGCTGACCCGACGCCTGCCCAAGGCAAGCCCCGGTGCATAACCCATATTTTTATGATCACTGAATATATATATAATGTATATTTAAGTTATAGGCATTTTATAGAAACTACCTGCATAAATATATCTCCCCATGAGTCCTACTAGTACAGGTCGAGTAGCTACTATGCTCAGGATATCGGTAGCGTGAGTAACCTGCCGTTACTCGCAAATAGGTAATAAAATATGAACACTCATGATAAAATGGTGGAAAGAAAAATGGTGACCGGGTAGGAATATGGATTGGGTACTGATGGGTGTGAGGGGTTGTGTCCTGCGGCCAACAGGGCATAGCTCGGTTACACTTTTTTCCTATCTGTGTCAATTAAGGACCGGTCGTTGCATATGACTCTAGGCAAGTCACAGATTATTGTCCCAAGTGCATACTTGGGTATGGACGCAGGGAAGGCTTGTTGCTCTCTTGTCGTGGATCCGGCTCTTTCTGGACCGACTGATGGGGAGATGAGGTGGTGGAGGTCCTTGCACCACACTGAGTCCGGGACTCAGAAGTGGGGGCTTGGAGTCCAAGTTTGGACGGGGACCTGGACACCCAGGACAGAAGAGTGGTGGGTTAGTCCTGCTTGTGCCCGGGGTACAAGCAGTGCGTGTATTTTCGGGGCACCCAGCTGGACACATTGATTTGCGAATCGCCGGGCGATCCGGTACGGCTTGTCTACAGTTTAGCACCGTAGTAAGAACTGAAAGTGGAGAAAGAAGAAGAAATATAACTGATTGCTCAACCCTTGCTTGAAAGTAGACAGGTGCTTATATACACTGGCTAAATGATAACTTAATACGGCTGACAATAATATTACATAAATAAGGACTCACTATTAGTATGGCTTTCTGCTAAAGAAAACCAATAAACCATAAAAACTATCATATTCCTTGGAGTCGAAAAATTATTCCCACTAGTCGGGTAAGTCTTGTGAGTACATTGTGTACTCAGGGTTTATTTACCCCTGTTGCAGGTGACGCTTGAAGAGTACCTTGTGTGGAGGATCCTTCTGGTGGGTTCAGACGGAATCCTCGCCCCCTTATCGCTAGATGTTATCTTTTTAAATTCCGTTGTTTATCATTCCGCACTCTGGTATTTAGTATTGTAATAATATATTTTTTAAGGAACTCTAATGTATGAAATGGACTTGTGTTGTAACTTGTACTCATTATTAGATCCTTGGGAAAAATGTGGATCTTTTGGGTTCTCCCTCGTGGTGTGACTGACGTACACCGCTCGTTGTAGCTCGCTTCCGGAGTGCTCAGTGTTTGGTGGAAGACGAGCGCCTCCGTAAGTATGCTATTTCGGACGGTTCTGCCACATCTTTGATGGTATAATTTAAATATTCTCAGTATGCATGAAATCTTCTCATTTTCAAATACTAGACACGAGTATTATGGAATAGTCTTCTTCTAAATCTAGAATATTGTTTTTTTAACCTATAACATTTTTCTGATGAAGGTAGAACGTTATTTCTTGAATCTAGAAAATTGTCCTGCTTAACAATGAGAAAAATGACCTTCAATAAAATTTTATCTAAATATATCCAAGTGGAAGTCTTATTTTGAAAGAGTTATAGTAAGAAACACAATGGTGCAATTGAAATTTAATTTAAATGTTTAGTTTGGCAACTACATATTTTAAATTTAATTTTTCAAAAGATTTCATTTGACGCTGATGTCAGTAAATTTATTTTATCCTTATATAATCTTAAGTTTAGCCATTAAATTTTAGCTCTTGAGGCTCTAAATAGATAGTCTAAAATATTGTCTAAAGTTTAGCGAACCCTCAAAATGCTATTAGTTTATTATACCATACAAGTGTCTTAGAATTCTCTGGCGGAAGGACAATTTTATTCCACTTTTTCATCTCCTCCCTCGTAGCACCGCAGGGGCAAATAAACCGAGAGACGCAGAAGTGTGCTAAATGCTATTTTCCTTTTCACCTCTTTTTGTTTTGCTTTTTCTGTATGCGGATACAAATATATAAAAAAAAATGCTTCTGGCCTTGCCGCCTTGGCCACCAGCAGAAATGGAAGGGCATCAGCTGCATGAAAAATATACAATTAAATAGCCTTGTGAGTTGTGACTAGTGGTATCCGTCCTATGTCCTATACGAATACCATGCTACCGACAATCCCAACTACTCAAACCTCTTCGTATGTGCTCTGTACATTGGTGACCACCTGGGAGGAATCTCTTCACAGTTCCACTGGGCATTGGGGGTCCAATCTGCAGATCGACGATTGGACATCACCTGTATATGTACACAAAAATCCCCCTTCTTTGTGCTCTGGCTCATTTAGGAGCAGTTAGCAAAAAGTGCAGGTCGTCAGCTGTTAAGCATTTATTTTGATGGTAGCTTCTCCACTTTGCTCTCTCATGTCCTTCGTCCAGAACTCCAGATGAATATACCAAGACAAAAATGCTGTACACATACATAATATATCCTTTCTGCCCACCAAGTATTTACTGGAATTCAGAAATGCTCCTTGTGAAACTCAAATTTCGTAGTGCTTTTCCCATTGAATTCGTGGCACAGTTTGTTTAGTTCTTGTGCAAGAACTGGAGCTCCACAGTAGAATACACCTGCGTGCAACCAAATCATTTTAAAAAAATAAAGAATGTATAGGCGGTACATAATTTATTTTCTTTTCTGGAACACACGATAACTGTGCCATTATACTAATATTGCCATTAATTAATATAGAAATAGCTTGATTACAACGCACCCCACACCAGTTTGTTCATGGAAATGGAATTCTAAATAAAACTGAGCTGGTTATTCACACTGTTTCGCTCAATCATGCAGGCCAAAGCTTAATTGCTATAAATTGTTCTGCATCTTTATGCAGCGGTGTGTTTAACACAGATGAAGTTTTGATAAAGGACACACAAGTCATTCACAAATATGCGCATGGCTATATAAAAAAAACTGAGAAGCTTCCAGAATATGCGGCAATGTAGTATGTACACTAACCTATCTTGGCATATGGATGCTTGGAGGCAATTTTAGATAGGACTTTTTTCCAATTTGGTCTTGCAAAGTGTGTCCGGACCTGCATAATCAGCATATGGATGATGATGGGAGTATTAGCTTATACCTTAAAAGGTGATTGTACACTATTTTAATCATTTATGCTAATAGATGACAGGTACAAAACTCAGCATTCTAACATTACTGACTTAACTGAGAGTGGAGCTGTTAATTGCTCTATCAGCACTTACTTTAGTTCCAGAGACAATGTCAACGCCATTCTTTGCATGGTTCAAAGCTTGAAGCATGGTGATGAGCGCTGACCGAGCATCCCCTTCCTCATAAACACTCGTGAGGTAGTTGTGCATCTCAATGATATTCTAGAATGGAGCAAAGGCAAACTGTAAGTAAAACCCACTTAAGGGAACATATTAATTCTGACAATTAAAAAATGCAATTTGAACAAAACAAGTGGTCAATTGGTGTACCCTTTGGTCCAGTTCAGCAATCTCATTCATGACTCCCTTGAACCAATCAAAAGAACCTTGCTCACGTGTAACCCAATAAAAGTAGGCATTTGTGGTCCTTAGAACCCTCTTTGGTTTTGATGTGACCGTCATAAGTGTGCTCAGATCTATGTGCGGCTTATTCGGACCAACTGGAGGATAAAGATCAGTGGAAGTATCCTGCCAACACACACACACACACATAAAACAGAATTGTTGTTAGCAAAATGCCGAAAGAATATTTTTTATATGTGATCTGTTATTTCACTAATGGGATTAGGAAGGTCCGATGGTGACAAAGTGAAGATACAGAAGATAGTAAATTACCTCCTCTTCCTCCATCCTTATGATATTGTTAAGAAGATCTTTCAGTATGCTGATAAAAGGAGTTGCACCAATTCCTAATCCAACAAGTAGAAGAACATCATACTTGCTGTAATCCTGAGCAGGAGAACCATAAGGTCCATCAATCAGAAGTTTTGGTAAGCTGCATTATCAAAAGACAAACATTATAACATGTAATTTATTAAAGACCTATTACACACAAAATCAAGCCTTTATGATTGAGGGCTCATACGCTTTCTTGGTTGTCTCATCTGCTCTAAGAAGGCCACTTTTACCACCCACTGGGGGTTCACAAGCTGCCGCGAAAACCCTCTTGAGTTCTCGTGTCCAGTCACCAAGTTGTCGAACATGAATGCTGAGATAATCATCCCCAGGCGCTGAAGTAATTGAGAACGGATGCCTATGAAGAGAATGGAAATGCTCAGTGCTCAATGGGCTTCATTGAGACTATTTATGAAGCGTTCATGAAAGTTGGTAGTTTCTATCCAAGCAAGGGCATAATTGAATCAAAATTTATTGCTACAAGTACAAATTACCACTCAAAGGGTGACACTGCTGGACATTGAACAAACATATATTGCCCACTCTTGTACCGGAAAGCAGGAGGCTTGGACATTTGCAGTGTCAACACATTACCAGGATATATGGCCACCTGAAAGGAAAAATAACAATAACTAGATTAGTAGGTCCACAGAAAATGAATGCTCAAGTTTCTCATGTCTTTTTGATTGACCTTCAATAGCCTGACAGAATAACTGCCAGACCTGAAGAACCTCAGCACCCTCTCCCCTACATACAAGCAAACAGGCACTGCCAGATACATCCATGTCTGCATCAGTAACAAAATACAAGAACCTTAGGGCTCAAACTTTGATTATTTCATGTGCAAGGAATGAAAACAAATAAAAAAACTCACCGTTTTTCGGTACCAGACATGAATGAGGTACAGGAACTGGCCATGAACAATGAGAGCCAAATACACAATTATGAATAAGTGATGAGAGTACCAGAAGGCATTGAAGCCAGTCAGTTTGTCAAATGGTTTTGGAAGCTTCACTAGGCTACGGCGGAACCACCGTGTTGCTAAAGTGAAAGCAATAATCATACAGATAACCATAATTACACCAGTGATGCCTTCCACTCCTTTGACCAATGTAAAATATGTTGGCTTTGTTTCACCGAAGTACTGGCCCAGAGGAGCATAATTCTCATTTGATGAATGTATAAGCCGTGGAAAATCACACACAAGGTGGTTCCCTGCATGGAGGATTATACCAACAACGATTGCTGCTGCAATAGTCTGCCCATTAAAACAACAAAACAAATTCTTTTATTAGTTTCCTTAGTCAAAGTCTCATATTTCATATGTTGCATCTAGTGAGTAGCTTTCCATGTAACTCAAATCCCTGTAGCCACTAAATATAGGCCATCTTCTACTACAGCTAATATGATAAAGCTATTGTTTGGTAGTTGGAGATGAGCAAGCATATTTTATCATTGAAGGCAAAAAAAAAAAAAAAAGGAAATACTAGATGTGTTTCTGTACAGACAGGATGGATCACTTCATCAACCAGAATACATTTTGTGTTTTGCGTAATTGTTATGCTCTGCATATAATTCATAAATAAAGGGCGTACCCAGTGCAGAGAGCTCCCGCTCTGTGTGGGGTCTGGGGAAGAGTGTCGGTGGCAAGCCTTACCCTCGCCTGTGCAATGCGAGGAGACCGCGACTCGAACCTGGGACCTTCCGGTCACAGGCGGTAAGACTCTACCGCTTGCACCAGGCCCACTCTTCATAATTCATAAATAAACTGTTACAGAATTAAGCATCCCACTGGACATGAGTAACTGAACATACTTTTTTTTAGATAAACTGAATAAATTTATTTGGTTCACAATGAATTGGTACAATAAGTACACACATAGAATAAAAGGTACAAGAAGGGCAAACACCTATATTCAGACTTCTACAGTGGGGGCCTCCCCTGCTGTATTTTCTGCTAAAAAAACACCTATATTCAGACTCACTAAGTACATGACCCTTTTTTAGAAAAATAAGGTTAAGCACGTGAAAATAAAGTTGAATATCCTGCATCAACATGAACAGATGATGCAAATGCCCATTTACATCCTTTCAGTCCTAAATTAACTGATTTAGGTACAAATTAACTCATTAACATGAAACTCTGAAACTATATTGGCAGAATAAAAAGAGGCACTGACAAACTAATGACTAACCTTGTGGAAGTTTATATTATCATCAAATGGTAATGCCCGTGCAGCCCTTGTATTTCTCAACCAAGTAATGGTGTTACGGCATACTGGGAGGAGGATAATTGCCATGTTCAGCTTCAGGGTTTCAGCAGCGCCTTTTGCAGTGGTCACGCAGTAGCCCATCACATTAAAGACATACCTGTTGCGATACTGCATGAACTTCCAAGTGAATAGTCCGGCCATTATTCCAATCCATAATGCAAGCACCCATAGGCGTTTCCAATTATCCTCCAAGTAGTAACTCAACGTAGTACTTATCTTGCGAATTGGACTCTTTTTCCTTAAGCCTGCTAGGTTCTGACTTAGTGCTTGGCTTGTGTAACTTAGTGCCTGACTGTAGTTCATGTAGGTATCCTTCTGCAACAGAAGGGTCTCCAACTGCCACAACTGCAATACCAATAAAACCCACGCATTCTTTAGGAAAAAATAAAGGCTACTTTAATAGTAACGGGTTAGATTAATAAAAATAATACTCTATTAACAAATAATAGGCCATTGTTTCATACAAGTGGTCAAGAAGGAACATCATGCATTTGTAATAAAAAGCTGATAAGCGCACATCTGGAGACAACTAAGGCTGATGTAACTACTACAAGAGCACAAGTTAAATACAGTGTTTTATATTATAAAACAGAAAAATGCCCTCATCAGCTGAACAACTCATGATCTAGAGAAACAAGATTTATATGCATAAAAGCAAATCCATAATGTATCCCAAAAGATTATGTGTACATAGAATTAAAATAATTCTTCAAAAAGAAGTAAACACACAATTATGAAAAAAAAAACATCTACGCGAGTTATTGAGGGACTTTTCCCTTGAAAGACACCAAAAATTGAAGTGGCCTTACTGTACTGTATGAATATGTCAGCATATCACGTCAAGAAAAAAATGGCATTTACAAAAGAAATATTTTTTCCTCAAAACAGGAGAACTGGTATCATTATATTAAGAGAAAAATATGGGAAAAGATCCCATACAAAGCACACCAACGCACACCACTAGGATTTATAAAAGGCATACTATAAAGTGAGTGTACTAAAGTATAATACAAAGAAATCCAATGGGGAAATAGATGAAGAAATCCAACATCGCATTGGCCACTGGAAGGGTGACTCCCTTTCACCTATGTAGTTCATCCTATTCATGGATGTATTGTATTGAATTCCTTGTTTAACTCAGCCAGTGCGGCAGGATTATTACAGCGACTACCAGTGCGAGGTGTGCAACTTAGGGTATCTCTGTATGCTAATGATGTAATTTTCTTCCTTCTGCCAAGGGAGGAGGAATTGAATTTGATCCAGCAAATACTTCAGATTCATGGAGATGCTTCTGGGCTAAGAAAAATATGCTCAAATATTCAGGAACACCTATAAAATGCCAAGAGGAGGACATGGTATAGTCATTCAGAGTAAGTTGCCTTGTGAAATAAAACATTCATGCACTTATCTAGACTTCACAAGTGTTTTTCCCACCGGACCTCACCCCAACCCCCACACACCTCCTGCACGCGGCATGCCCTCACAATTTGCCTCTTTATCCAGGTCGCTCACTCACCACGTCCCACTCAGCTGATGCAAGTTTGTATGGACAAAAGTTCAAGTTTGTATGAATAATGTATTTTGATTGCACATTATCAATTATGGATTCCAATAATTATTTTCATAAATGAGCTGCAAACTTTTCACAAAAGGACAAACACGCCACCTAAAAAATTGAGGACATTACATACTTTTGGCATCCACAAAAAGCAATCCAACTCGCCTAGGATCTAGGTTGCCAAAAAGCCATTAGCTTTTGCTTTTTGGACCCTCAGCTTTCCATAATCTAGGTTTTCACAATCCAAGTTATACAAGCTGCATTCCAGAATCTTTAGCTGAAACAAACAAGGCTCTAATTCACCTATTATTCTTATTGCTTGGGAACTAGCAAAACATCACGATGAGTGTGTTTTTAATAGCATCTCTCTGAATGTTCTGGCAGTGGAGAAAGATGGTGTTTTGTGGTGTGCTGCAAGGCCAAGGAGCTCCAGGCCCCTTAGTCCAACACTCCATGTCACACAAACCCATGTGACCCTCGGATACGTTAATGGGCTCCCCTGTCACCATGACCCCTAAGATTTTTTAGGTTTTTCAACCATGGGCTATGATACCACTTGTTAGAGTGCGCAGCAAATCTGACCTAGCTCGCTATACCCACGAGCCGACGCCTCTTCAGGCCTAGGCCACCGAAGCCCACAAGAAACCCAAGCTCTGAGAGCTACCTCAACCCAAAAGACATGCGAGGGTTGCCCACCATCAATTACGAATGTGGGACGAAACCTAACAAGTCTAGTAAACAAAATTCGTGTGGACCTGTGTGTTGAGGCCATCCACTCTTGAGCAGTGGCGCATACATTCTAGTTCTTCTAGGGAGGGGGTGTACGTATTGTACTCATTCTCTTTTACTTCTACAGAACATAAAAGCAATTATATCACTGTAGCCCTCTTTGGTTGTAACGTTTACACTAGCAGCACCTGGTGCTGCACATGGCTCATGTGACCACGATATCCAAAGTTTTTTGTGATGCCCGTTTAAATAATTATGTCTAGAGAGAGTGTGGATTGGACTTGAATCACCTGGTGCAAAGGATGACCTGGGCTGGTCTACCCCTGCCCACTATGAATGTGGTCTAACATGACACGTACCATAGAAACCAAAAAGGCCAATGCCCAATGAGAGCATCATGGCCCAGCAGACAGTACACTCCCATACTATGTCAAGAGTAAAGGGGGAAGAAGGATAGAAACACCACAATTGACTCTCATAATTGTGTTAAGGGTTTTGCTACGGTACAACTATTACCTCTTAGGAGGTAAGAGTTTGAATAAATCACAACCGTTGAATTTTAGAACATACCAGCCAATTAAATAACCAAATAATCAAGGAAAAAATGTTGGCTATATCTGTGCGCTGATTTCCTTGCCATATCTGATATAGGAGCATGCACGATAGTTATGGCACGTATGTACAAGATTCATGTGTGTATCTGTATGATTATCTCGCATAATACTACATGCTTCTGGCTATGTTTAACTAATCACTATGTAGAGAAAATAGTTAGACTTCTTGTCACGTGTCATTAACTCATTATAGTATATTATATATAATGCAACTATATCACGTATATTTTTTCATAACATGTCTTGTTAGGGTATATACGGTTGTGATACATATACACCTGTCACGTTACAACATTTTTATATATAAATAACTATAATGACAGGGTTTCATATTTATTTCTTTTGACAAATATGTTACGTGCATGTTTTTTTCTTGTCAATACAGGTTCGGCTTTGTTCACATTAAGAAATGTTAAAAAGGAAGTCGCCACAGATGCCAAGGCCGAATAATACAAAATAATGCTAATCAAGTTAGTATGTCATATCTAATAGATCAGCATGCATCAATTAGATCTAGAAAATATTTATATATCTAAAACTTTCCTTATTTATTCTATTTTATAAAATTTAAAATTAAATAAATATATATTTCACATATTACCTCTCAGGAAGTAATAGATGATATCAACCCTCCGATCTAATTAAATGAACGGCTTACAGTTACTTGGGGGTACCACAGCAAGGCCCTTGTGTTAATTAACCCGTTGTGGATGCTAATCTGCTGAAATCAGCATGCCAAACCTTGTGCCTTTCAATATATGAAACAATCATGGAGCACTGATGAATTGTTTTGACCGCTTCCTTTGGAGCAGTACTATTATTTTTACTATACTCCCACTGTTCCAAAAACAATGCAATTCTAGGTTTAGAACAAGTCAAATTTTCTTAAGTCTAATTAAGTTTATGCATGGAAAATAGTATCAACATTTATGCCTCTAAACAGGTTTTCTATAAAAATATATTCTATAATTAATATAATGATACTTTTTTGGTAGCTTAAATGTTAATTAAAATTGTTTGACTCCTCAAGAGAGTTGAAGTCTTTTGGGGACTGAGGAAGTACAGACAGATTACAGCACTCTTTAAAAGAAAAGGAGGTCAATAGCCATGAGAACGTGGTTGGGGCAACAAGCTGTGAACTGTGAGCAGCAAGGATGACATTGAACACGGCAAATGAGCCCTTGTTTAGTTCCACCCCAAAATCCCAAAAAGTGCTACAGTATCTGTCACATCGAATGTTTGCGGCCTATGCATGGAACATTAAATATAGATGAAAAAAACTAATTGCACAGTTTGGTGGGAAATTGCGAGACGAACGTTTTGAGCCTAATTAGTCCATGTTTGAACACTAATTGCCAAATAAAAACGAACGTGCTACAGTAGCCCCAAATTCCAAATTCCTTGAACTAAACACGCGCTGAATGAAACATAAGAAATGCATGCAAGCTGATCCATAGCTGCTCACCAACTTCGACATAAATGATGATGGGAAAAAGGATTTTATTGGGTACCACTTCCCATTTGTTTTTTGTATCGAACAGTAGATTAACTGCATGTACTCAGAGTAACATTTCCAGGGGCAAAATTTTATTGTTACCACAGTAATGGACAGCCTCTTTGGCTGGTTATAGTGCGGTAGCGCCTAGTAATGCGATAGAAAATGAAGTTTAGATAATCAAAGACAAGTCTTATAATGTTTGGTACTAATCCACTATCATGTCATAAGAGACAAAGCCGCAGTCAACTACTTCTCACGGTGCAGTGTGCACTGATCAACATGTACGTGAACTACCTGCCAAAATCCTCTATGAGGCTAACCAAATACTGACACTTCTTTCACCAAACTATTGTCACCACTGTTGCTGGCAATAAACATGTGGTCGAGAGCCAAACTGTTTCACTGCATAATCGTGTGATTGATTGCTAACAATGTTAGCTTACCTCAATGTAGCCAAGTCCTTCAGGATCAAGCTCCTCCATGATCAGGGCGGCATACTCTTCAGCTTGCTCCTTAAGCCTGGACAGCTTGTTGGCAGATGCACTTAACATGATAATCTGGAACAGTAGAAAGATAAACACGAGTTAGTACAGTGTTGGAGCGCAAACTCAGCGTGATCTCGTATTTTACCAAACCATTAGAAAGTAACCCATAACAGCATATGGCTGATTCAGTTCTTAACAGTGACATCGTCGAAAGGCACCCACATGCCTTTCAAAAGCTACTTAGCTCACCAAGCCACCTTTCAACGCATTGCTTCAGCGGATGCAAGAAAAAAAAAAGATTAGCTGGCCTGTCGGAAATGCCCCTTACCTACTGCCGCTAGACTGCAGACTGCCATCCACTGAAAATTTACTGGAATGCTCTCACACGTTCTAGAAAGAAGGGTGCCCCTTTCCTGAAGGCTTAAGAAAAAAAACGAGTGTCCCAAAACTAGCAGGTAGGAGTGGGTAATGGCGTGATGCTTTCCACGCCGCGGTTCCGCTCACCGACTACGATTAGACGCAAATACTTTTCTCGTACACCCTTCGACCCTGCGAAGATTTCCTTTAAAACCCTCCTCTTGTCGGATTATCACAGGTTAACTAAGATTTCTCTACCACTCAAACATAATTAAGAAACTAGTAATCCGTAAGGTCTGCGATATGGATGCGCTACCTATTCGGAGAACAAAAACAGATATTGCTGTGGCAGTGCCGAGAAATTAGACAGCTCAATGGACCAAATATAAAACTCTTGCAAAGGACGCCTAAACGATCCGATTTTGATATCCCCAAATATCAAATCAGAAAAAGAAAGGACGAAAGAAAAGGGAAAGAAACTGCTTGTAGTGCAGCACCAGTGCACCACCAACTCCAACTCTCCAAGCACAGCAATGGGCATGGGTGTTTGTTGCTTACCTCTTTCACCTCCTCCTCCCCAATCCGGCCGTCCGCGTTCTTATCCACCCTAATTAAAAAATGGCAAAATCAATACGGTTATTGAAAACAATAGACGAGTCTCAAAGTAGCTAGCTAAGAGTGGCGTAATGGTGGGCATGGTAGCGGGGTGGTATACATGTCGAAGAAGATCTGGAGGCGGGAATCGAAGCTGTTGTCCGTGATCTGCTGCCAGATCTCGCGCAGCTCCTCCTTGTTGATTTTGTCGACCTGCATCTGACGGCGGCGGCTCAATGTGTCAAACAGCTCGAGCGCGAACTCTTTCGATTCCGTCATCCCTGCACGTGCACGTGCAGCTCCCAATGTTTCAACGGCGAAGGGAAATGGGGGAGAAAGTCGAGGGGAGGCAGCGCGGCGTGGTGGTACCAATGCATTCCGCGAAGTCGGAGCGGGAGAGGAAACCGTCGCAGGCGAGGCGGTCGAAGTTGGCCTGCACCTCCATCCAGGCGTTGTTGGCCTTGTTGCTGCTGATGAAGCGGAGGCCGCGGAGCGCCTTGTGCGCGCCGGAGCGCGTGCGGTCGAGCTGCTGCGCGCCGCCGCGCGCGCGCGGCGCGGGCAGCGAGGGCCGACTCGATGCCTGTCGACGGCTGCTGCTGCTGATGCCCCTGCCCTTCCGCGCGGCTCTGGGTGCGGCCGAAGCGCTTGGTGAGGTCCTGCGAGAACTGGCGCGCGATGGACATGGCCTCCGCCTTGATCTCCTGCGAGAACTGCAGCAGCCGGTGCGACGAGGTCCGCCTGATCGACGGCGACCGGGACCGCGACGACGACGACGCGCCGCCCGCATGGTCCCCGCGCGCGCCCAGCGGCAGCCCGGTGGCGGCCCCCGCCGCGGCCGGCTCGACGCTCCGCAGAATGATGGTGTCGTCCTCCTGCAGGTCGAGCGTGACCTCGACCAGCTCCTCCCCGTCGTCGGAGCTGCGCTCGGAGCCCCGCGGCGAGGAGCCCGTGCTGAGCGACCGCGGCGTCGTCCCCGCCGAGCCGCTCCATCGCTGGTGGCCCAGGGCGGCGCCGCCCCTCATCGCCGACCCAATCAGAAGCCGCTTTCCAGCGCGGCTCCCGGAACAGTCCAATGCTCGCAGGGGAAACGCGATCGACTGCTGGCTGGATGGATTTTTGGGGTGGCTTTGGAAACTCTGGGGAAAGGCGCCCGCAACGCGTCCGAGCGGGAGCCGAGCCGACGAAAGAGGAAGGCGCAACGAGACAGCAATATATGAGGATGAGGAGGGAGGAGGCGAGCACTGGACTCACTGTAGTACGACCAGCCTAAGTTCTACTAGCACGTAGTAGTACACTTCTGCCGATTAGCCCAGCACAAATTCGTGGGGTAAAAGGGCAGTCGATTCGTTGCTTCAGGAAGTGACGTGAACAAATTTGGTTTACGCTGATGTTTAAGCTGGTTTGCTGAGAGAAAAATATTATTTGTCATTAAAAATACTATTGGAGTAGTGCTGCAGAACAGGGCGATAGTTCTGCCCTCGGCTTATCCGGAGCGAATTATATAGAGCCCAACTAAATGGTTAAAATGTAATTAGATTTTGATGGAGGCCTGTTCGCTTGTCTTATGAATCGTTCTATTTCAGCGAACGAATAGTGTTTTTATTTCACAATAAATCAACGAACAATATTTTCAGGCATAGCTTTTCAGCAAAACGAACAGGGCCAAAAAGCTCAACAAGAACCCCAATCACTTCTCTATTTCCAGTAAAAACTAAAGAAAATGTGCTTCCCACTACTCAGTTCAACTACCATCAGAAACACTCATAATAACTTTTCATCACTCTGTTTTTCAACCAAAAATACGCCATCACAAAATCAAAGAGTGGAGTTCCAAAATAAAGAAGTGTGTAGGTCTACCAAACTTGCCTTTAGATATAACCATGATTTGTTTCTTATCTTCAGTGGAACGTGTTTAGAACAGTGGAAATTCATCGAAACCTTAAATTCTTGTAGGAAACGAATAATCCCCTGTCGTAAAATGAGGCCATACGATTACTTATGACTTTTTTATGCTGAAACCAGTTGACCATCTGAGCATTATTGTATTAGCCAACTTTTGATTAACGTGGACATGCCATCTAGATCTAGCATTAATTATCACTCATATAATGACTTGCCTATTATTACTCCGTGTATCTAGGAATGCAAAGATGTATTTTGACTAGAAAAAAATTGTACAAAATAAAATTGACCATTAATTTATCTTGTTAATCGATAAAAAAACAACAAGTAAAAGACACTTTAAATATAATTCTATTAGTGCAAGTTATTGTGTCCTTTGCATAAAATTTGACTATTTCTTGGTTAAAATGTATAAAATTTAACTTTCTCCTACTCAATATATGTGTTATATTTCTGAATACAGAGAGCAGGGTTATCTCTTTTTTGTTGGCTCTTTCCTCCATGTAGGAAAAATATGTATGTAACGTGGCTATAACCACTCATTATACTTGCTCTATATGATATTTAAATCATGTGGATTTTATAGAAATTTAGCATGACCCAAGTATAATTTTTATTTTTTGGCTGAAACACTTCAGCCGACGTGTCCATTCACTTTGTAGCATAGAACCTTTTTTAAGGACGGCAAAAGTTTTAAGTAGAATATATTTGAGAAAATCTATAGCTCTACTCTAATCAAGGTGCAATTGTTGTCACTATAGTGATTCGAGAGAGAAGAAAAAGTCACGGCTGCTGCTTCTACGCTTCCACGATCTTGGAAACACTGGTGGAGCTACATGGAGGCCAAAGTGGGTCATGGCCCCCTTGGCAATTGATTTTGCTTAATGATGTTTATGGTTAACTCTTAGGGAGTCTTAGAGATTTGCACACCAGCGATAACATGAATATTGTTGGCCCCCTCTTCGCCACTGCTTGGAAGGGATATATCGCGCGTCAAGGGATGTAGTGCTGTAGTTTGGTATGAAAAGTTTGTTCGTTGTAGTTTCGGCGGCGGCAGCTGCTGCAACTATTGAACTACACGATGCTGTAGAACATGCCCTAGGGCCAGCAGTATCGTTGTAGGTAGCCAATATAATCGAGTTTAGGTGGTGTTTAAATCTAGTGAATAAAGTTTAGGGATGTCATATTGAGTATCACATCAGGGTTTTCCAGTGTTTGGATAGTAATAATAAAATAAATTATAGAAGTTTAATCTGCGAGACGAATTTATTAAGCCTAATTAATCCGTTATTAGCACATGTTACGGTAGGACCACGTTGTAAAATCGTAGACTAATTAGACTTAAAAATCGTCTTACAAATTAATCACAATCTATGTAATTAGTTATTTTTAAGTTTATATTTAATACTCTATGCATGTACAAACATCTGATATAATAAGAAGTAAACTTTAGAAGCAACTAAACAAGCCCAAAGAAGAAGCAGGTACCCACTGCATACGGAATGTCTCTCTGCAAGTCTGTACTACGCAAGATAACTTAGCAGAGAGAATCAGCTAAAAGGTGCTGGAAACAGGGGGAAATAGATCAGATATTCAGATGACTAGTATATACTTGTATGCCAATTTTTTTTTAATGAATGCCTTTCGTAAGGTTGTAGCGTATTCTTGACGTGCTACTTTACCTACTGTTTGGTGAGTAGTAGTAGGTGGCCATGCATGTTTGCCTACGAACACAAAATTAAGGAGAGGTGCACGTATGGTTAGCATGGATTCCTTCGTGTTCATGCATGCCTTGGATTGTTAAAAGCATTGTCGCGGAGACGAAGCCATCGTGTCTCGGGAGTTCATTGGCTCCAAAGCCAAGAAACAAGGCGCGTGTTTTAACTTCATATACATGCAGGCTGCAGCAGCATCCTTCTAGACAGAGATTTTTTTTTTCCTTTTAGACGTGTAGAGAGAAAAAGACTCGATCTTGAGTCATATATTTTGTCACATGTACAAAACGTTTTAGAAAGGGGGCGGGGAAGAGGCCTTTGATATAATATACTGCGCGAATACGGCACGGTTGGTATAATTGAATTTGTACATTGTAAACGAGGCACATGCATGCGCCACGCGACTTGTTGATTAATGGATACGGGTAGTAATAAGTGCTAGCTAGTATTTGCAGTGCATCATACTCCGTATTAGCGCACATAATAATATGACGCGTACAGTTGACATGATTTTTGACATGTATATTGGAGTACGTTGGAGTAATAATAGATAGCTACTGGCTAATAGTGTCCTCCTGTGTGTTTATCCGGTGTACTGCTGGTTGCTCAGTTCGTAAGGTATAGCCACTGGCCAGCAGCAGCACCGGTTGCAGCTGCAGCCATCGCATTAAGCAATTTCGCATGTTTCTTCCGGCTAGTTCGTCGTAGCTAGGGAAGACCGGTCTGCGCGTACGTGTACGTTTGCGATCGCAGCAAGGCACCTCTGCCTAGCCGCACAAGTGTATATACGAGCGCGCTCCCAAATTGTGTTTTGCATGATGCGTACGCCAAGAAGTAGTGTAGAGTATTGACCACATGCACGTGTTGACGTGTCAATAAACTAAGAACACCACTACGACGACAAGCTGCGCGATTTAAGACGTACTGTATATTATACGAGATATGAAGTGTAACAACGACGACGCTGCTTTCACGTTCCGTTCAGCAGTACTCACCTCGTTCCAATTTACAAATTGGACCGAACAAACTGAATATAGACTAATAATACAGATTTTTTTTTGATAAATAACTAATATAATACAGATAACCAAACAGATTATGTATACTCCCATCGCTTTTGCCATCTAGACACCGGCACTTGGGCCGGGTTAAGCTGATGCATAAGCGTGTACTCCAGGATTCGCTAGCATCAGATCCAACCGCCAATCGGCGTCCTAGAGAATTTTGTACTAGCAAAAGAGTGGGTGGATGGATAAATTAACGACAAGCTGGCTCAAATGAGCGGGTGGAAAACCATCGATCCCCCGGATTCAACTCCCATTAGGTCCTCTAGCTAGCTATACTTGTTGATTCAAATCCAGCTGATGTGAGGAATGTTGACCTGACCGTAATCTGGGACAATCCTAACCGATTCGCAAAGGGATAAAAAAAGGAAGGAATAATCGAATTACAACCTAATCCAAACCTTAAAATCAGCTCCATACTAGAAAAATCCGAATGCAAATGACAACCTTGAACACGAAGACAATCTGAAGAGAGACCAGGCTTCCACGGACGAAGACAATCCGGGACGCAAAGCTGAGAAAATCCGTTTATGTCTCTTTTTTTTAGGAAACCCATCATTTATGTTCTACGGACCTAGTTCCATTTCGCGCAGCTGCTGACCGCCCACTCTCCTCCCCCGTACGCTTTTTAATGTTCTTGATGTCGCCTAAAAATACAATATTAAAATTGGTATATCTTTTGAACGGTATATCTGTTTTTAAGTTCCTCCTAAGCATGTGTATTCTACGCGACGAGCCGAATAAAACTAGACCCCACTTACATATGTTTTGAAGAATTTTTTTCAGTAGCAATTTATGTGTATTAACTTATGTCATATAACTTATAACTTACAACTTATGCACACAAGTTGTATTAAATAACTTTTTACTGGTCAGATTCGCTCGGTGGCTTCGCTACACCTGCACGTACATTCCTTTTTTCTTCATTTTTTGATTTTTTTCTACTATTTTTTCTCTTTTTGTTATATATTTATAAGTTATGCTACATAGTTATTTTCCTACAAAGTTTTCATATTTCTACTAATATGTTATGATATTAATTTACACATTTAAGTTCTTGAATATAACTTATACGCCCAACTTTACATCTAAGTCATTCATCAAGTTATATATTTAAGTTATACAAACAACTTATATATAAAAGTTTTGTGTATAATTTTTGTAGTTTTTCATGAAATTATGTTGATAAGTTTGTTCCGTAAAATATTATATATAAAAGTTATGCGTATAACTTTGTCACGTATATGTATAAGTTATGTGTGTAACTTTGTCACGTTGAATGTATATGTTGAAGTCATGTGTATAAGTTATATGTATAAGTTATACGTTGAAGTTTGTTCC